TGTAGTCTCGATTGCCTGCACAGGGAGGGGGAAGAGAGAGATGAAGGCTTGCAGTAGGGTGATATGCGATGTAAATATGTGAGGGTTCTTCTGGTGCGCGGTCTAGGAATTGCCTCTGTGGATAGAAAGGAAAAGAGATCCTCTGTGATCGGACCGCTCCGTGGCGCCCTCGTTCTTCTTCGAAAGGACCCTTCTGCCCGGCGTTACTGGTTACTTGCACCCCCTCCGTGCCCCCCGCCCTTACCCACACGCCTGCACCACTATCGATATCTCCCGCTCGAGCCCCTTGGCTCGGTCCACAACCTCCGCCTCCACCTCCTCCTCGAACGCCTGGACCTCCTCCAGGAAGTCCCTCAACGCCTGTCGCAGATCCTCCGGCGCCACCTCCGGGGGACCCCAGGTCCATTCCTCCTCTCCCTCCTCCCCTTCCCCCTCTGCCACTTCCTCCCGTCGCGGACGCGCGGGCCGCCTCGCCAGCAGGAGTTTCTCCAAGAGCATGCCTTGTCGCTCCGCTTCGTCGGTGCTGCGCAAGAGCATGCGCAAGAGCCGCGTGGGGGGAGGAAGCTTCTTATCCCTTTCTTCGCCCAGAAGCGTGGCCAAGTGCTGTAGGATGTTTGCGGCGGCTTCGTTTCCCTCGTGCTCGCGGGCTTGCTGGGCGTTGTAGTTGAGGATCACGTCGAAGGCCGTGTCCAACTCGTTGGCGCGCAGGTGTTTGCGCATCTTCGCCTCCATCACCTGGAATAAAAGGGTATAGAAGTCATGAGTTTCCAAACAGCACGGGTCGTGAGACAATCAGAAGCCTCTCGCCTCTCACCTTCAGGTCCCCACTCTTCAAGATGCCCCTCAAGATGAAGTCGGCCTTCGCAAGTCGCTGCTGCATGGCGAAATTGACGGCCTCCCCAACCTTGTTCAAGGCCGCAATTTCTTCATCGTCCGTGGAAGCCTGCAACCGTTGCATCAAATGGCTCATAAAGTGGTAGTCGAAGGCGTCGGCTTTGCTGAGAGCGAGGGCGGGAAGGTCAGAGGCTGCGAGGAGTTCCTTAACGAGGCTGTCAAACCTGAGGAATAGGGAAGAGAGGAGGGGATGAAAGCAAGGACGGTGTCAGAATTTCAGCGCTCAAAACAACGGGCGAAGATGTTAGAGACATCCGCAAGCCACCGAATTCGCTGGATTATAGAACAAAGTGATCACGACACCATCTCGGAAAGCATCACTGGTGGCTGACGTATACCTTCAGCCTCCTCGATTTCTATATTTAGCCAACGTACCTTTCAGAGTTTAAAGCTTCCACATCTGAGGCTGTTGCTGCCGAAGAGCTGAAGGAGATGTGCATTATTGGGTTGGCAGGTGCGGTCATGCGGTGTATTACTTTCTGCCCATGGTTCGGAGTCCGCGCGGGGAAAAAAAGGAACCCAGTGGAGGGAATAGCGAGCAGTACCACTAGCAAGTAGGACTGCAAACACAGAGGCATCTGGTGCGTGGGTGTATATGGCAATTTTTACGTGAATTATATCTCGACGTGTATGATTATAAGTACAGTAGCGGTCGCTGGAGTTGAAGTGGACTGGAATGGATTGAGGACGTGCGAGTAGCCACCACTGCCTCGCTCGCGAGGTGATTGACTGCGAGGGAATAAGTAAGACCCCACAACAAATGCGATGCGTACAATGCACATACTGTAAGGGATGCATTTAGAGTCCTTTGTCGCGCAGTCGCAGCAGCAAATACTGCGCTGGCCTCTGCCTGAGCGGGCTCCGATCTGGATACACCCCCGGGACCCGACTTGTTCTTTTTCACGCCTGGCGCTACTGAAGCTCAATACACGACCTTAACATCCACAAGTTCTCCCAGCAATCCTATTCTCGGCGGTCTATGGCGTCGAACAAGAAGGAGGTAAGCTTTGGCCGGTCTTGGCAATAAATTTTAAGTACGGGGTGTCTTTATTTTTGCTCACGACCTGGCCTGTCCTTATGTGCCTTTTCCTGTCCCGTCCTTGCCCGTCTATGAAAAGTTGCGGGGCTCACGATACGTGGATCTGGATGCGGACGAGGCTGGCGAGAGGTTGGCCGCCCTTTCTGTAGATGAGGTAAGGTGCACAGTGACAAAGGAGTGCCAGGGTGCCTACCGTCCGAGGAGGCACGGAGAATCGTATCCCAGCGAGCCTGAACAGAGTTTTGATGTAAACCTGGTGGGTATGAAAATCACGTGCAAGGTAAAATGGAAATAATAACGCCATAGCTCCAGGAAAGTAACATCGTGACCTGTAGCAATCACGTGGGGCTTCGGCTCGAACATTTCCTCCCTCAACACTCTCTAAACTGTCCTATCGACAACCACCCCCCAAGGGAGTGGCTACAGCGGCTGCGAAGGATGATTCCATACAAGAACCTAGGGTGCAGATGGTGGAAGAAGCGAAGGGCAGTGAGAGCAATTCCGTTCCCTTTGTCCCGTCCGTGACGACAGCCCCGCCGGGTCTGCGGTCGGCAGCACGCGAATTCGTCCCTGGGAATATGGGGGTTTACCCTCGCATGGATGCAGGGATAAGTCAAGGACAGCGGCAGCATCAGTATCTGCAAGGTTTCCAGCAGCAGTACGCATGGGGGGGTCAACGGAGGGGCGGGGACTACGATATGCAGTCCCAAGAGGAAGCCGGTGCCATGGACCGGCACGCCCACACCCATTATGCAAGCTACGAGTATGGACCAGGGTAAGTGTCCATACGTTATGGAGGCCTTCTTTTCTCAGAGGCTTACCTGAATGACCGAGGCATGGGTGGTGGGATGCCGAGATGACTCCCTAGGCAAGGGCCGTGCTCGGGGTGGAGGCAAGCTAAGCAGGCGATTCTGTCTCGAGACGGGAGCCTCAAGACACGCAGCAAGCTGCTCTAAGCTCTGGGAATGTGCTCTGCGCGGTGTCGTGATTCGTGGCCCACGTCGTTCTTTGGTCTTTCTGCCTTTCCAAGACCTTTTTGGGTTCAGTCTGTGCTCGACAAGGGGCTACTACGATTTGCGCTTCTATCTTAATTTCACCCGTTTTCCCCTCCTATTTTCCCTGAACCATTCGTGTATGGTTATAACGGCAGCATGCAGCCTCAGCACAATGGAGGAGCGGGCAGGACCCGCCACCCCCCTCCGGAGGAGCCTGGCTTCAACGCGTGCGAACTGCAGGTATCGCTCCCAGCAGGAGTAAATCATTACTTGTTGCGTGTGCCAAAGCTCAGTCCTTATTGGGGGCGGGTCCCGGTCTCTCTTTTCTTCGTTTGCACAGGAATTGGAAGCAGCCATGATTGAAGACGAGCTCCGCGCGCAAGGCTTCTCGGATGAGGATATAAAGAATATGGAGGCGATGGCAGCACAAGAAGCATGGGAGCAGCAACAGCATGCGGGAAGAGGACGTGGTCGTGGACGTGGCCGAGGGGTCGGACGATGGTAGCTTTGAATCAGGAGATTTGGAGGGCCTGGTACCAGGTTTTGCCAGAGCTGCATGGGGAAATGAAAAGACTGAAGATTTGCACAGCAAGGGCATGGATTGGTCATTATATAGAGAAATTGAAGTGCTCACGGGGAATGTGTAATTAGGATTATCAAAAATCGACAAGATAGTCAAAACACGTGTAAGTTGGGCCCTTACGAGGCGTGGCTTGCTGGCGTGGAGGCAATTTTGTTTTATACTCCGTGTAAAGAGAGATTCATAGTGAGGACCTCAAAGATGAGAAGAGCATGCCACAAACGAAAAAAAATGTGTACAGGAAGCAGTGTAAATTGCAAACATGTGAAGGATTACTTTTTCCTCCTCGTATCGCAAAAGTAAACCCGTGGGGAGGTCAGCCTTGGGAATGTAGTCACTACTTGCTCGAGCTGACCGCTTGCTGAAAAAGCAAAAAATATTTGCACAAAAGCACAAATATTGTAGATCCATGGGCCGGGGTTGCCGCATTGCAAAAGTATTACTCGTGGGGGAACAGTTTTGAGGAGGTTGGACCGGCTACCAAGAACCGTTACAACGGCACAAACATACCCTCCCTTCCCTTTATTCCACTCAGTCGCAGCCCCGACATTGACTCACAGGGTCAGGAGTGGGTGAAACCGGCCATACACTTCATGGAAGTGATAATTGGTTGCGTAGGTAAACCCAGTGTCGGGAAGAGTACATTTTTTAATGCCGTCAGTGGGGGAAGCGCCAAGACAGGTATGTCTATGGTTTCGACCCAACATTTGCCCGTGACATGAACTTCTATTCATACCGCTCTTCTCTTTCTTCACGCTATATTTTATTGAACAGGAAATTTCCCGTTCACTACCATTGAGGTAAATTTGACCTGGACGACGTGTAGTCTCGATTGCCTGCACAAATATAAGGATAACCTCCCCCCTATTATCGTCTTCTCCATTATATGACAGCCGAATACTGGCGTGACCTACTACCGGGTTCCATGTGCCTGCGCTCCCTATGATAAGGGGAAGGATTGCCAGCCCCGTTACGGTCGGTGTGCGAACGGCATGCGCTTCATCCCCGTGAAGCTTCTGGACGTGGCAGGCCTCGTGCCGGGAGCCTCCGAGGTACGCGGCCATGTGGGTATACTCGCTGCTAAGGAAGACACGCAGCGGCTCTCAAAATTTTAATCACAATATCGCGAACGTATTGCCTTTGATGATTCTTTTTCACCAATTTTACATCCCCTGTCCTCCTCTGCGTAACTGCGGGCAGGGCGCTGGACTCGGCAACAAGTTCCTTGATGACTTGCGACATGCTGATGTGCTCATGCACATACTTGACGTTTCTGGCACCACAAACGAGAAAGGGGAAGCTACCGTGGGGTACGACCCCGTCAATGACGCCAAGTGGCTGCACGGGGAGATCCACGCATGGGTTTTCAACAACCTGTGGCGACGGTGGACCAGTGTCGTCAGACGGCACACGGCAACCAAGTCGTCGGCGGCCTCCACCTTGCTGGGTCAATTATCAGGATATGGTGCGTGGGACGGAGCGGGCTCACGTGAGCCCATATGCATGCTTACAGCAGATACAACCGGCGGTCGTCAACCCTGAAAAACATGGAAACTATGTGAATGTCTCTCTCTCTCTCTGATATTCTTCTGAATACACCCAATTTAAAGGAGCCAATCCCGTTATGATAAATAAAGTGCTTGACAAGCTGGGGGTCCGAGACCCAGTGGACCTGGGAGAATGGGAGGAAGAGGAGGTCAAGGCGCTCGTGGAGGCTTTCTTGTCCGTTCGCTTTCCCACCATCCTGTTGTTGAACAAAGCCGATCAGGTAAAGAGAATGGAATCAGTCGTGCGCTTCAAAAACAGGGACCGCTTAGGCAAGTGGTAGGGGAGAGTTCTTTTGAGCTACGGGTGATGTCGTGATCTTGTCAATCTGACGCTCGAGACAGTGCCCTCGCCCGTGATCTCCTCTAAGCTCTAACCTGTGACGTCTTGTACACCCAATGACTCTAAAGGGCAAGGAGGAGAATGTGAGGAGTTTCCTCCCAGCTTCTGGAGATGGCTTTGTCAAGGTTTTTTAAAATTTCGCCAATATCGTCTGATACTCACATCCGATTGCATTAATGATACGCACTTCAGGCGGGCGACACAGACAAGAACATATCGCGGATAGTAGAGAGATACGACGCCTCTAAGTGCTTCGTCGCCAGCGCGGGGGCGGAGTGCTTTCTTAAAATTTGTAGGCAAAAGAAGGTGATCAGATATCAAGCGGGAGCTGGTAACTTTGAGACCATCGAGGATATCCAGGATGATCTTGACTTTCGCAAGTAAGTACCGAATTTGGGATATTGGGTGGGGCACTGATACATTTGACTAAGGCATCAGGGGACCGTCATGCATACACATATGGGGGTGTGCATATGATGGACCGAGTCCTTTGTCGCTTCAGACACATTGTCATCAGTGATTTTTGTTGCCATTTGTCCATACTTGATATTTCAAATTCCTTTCGGAGTCAGCGACGCATCACGAAAAGGTATTTTATACATACATAAAAGGGCACGGGGTGAGCACGTTCCGGCCATGGAAGAGGAGACAGCGGGCTTGGAGATGCCCGACAGTAAAACAAAAAAGCGTTTGGAGAAAATCCGCGACATGGTGCTTTTCCGCTATGGAGGTACTGGCGTATGGGCTGCCGTTCAGGCAGCTGTGGACCTGCAGCATCCCGTCGTATGCTATCCAGTCAAGTCGTTGAGCAATTTTTCCACCGATGCCGACGGGGGCCGAGTGTTTGGAAACGCGATACTGGTGAGACCGGGGAGCACGGTAAGGTCCGTTGCGGGGCATGTGGCGTCGGGCATGGTCGAATATCTGCAGTACGCTGAGTTGCTGGAAGAGGGAGGCATCCGACGGCGCGTTGGAGAAGATCACGTACTCACGGGTCAAAAGAATATCATTAAATTCTTCTACCGCCCCGTTGAGGAGCGGCCGTCCCATACTGGACACTCACAAAGCAAGGAGAAGGATCAATCAAAAAGCAAGTCAAAGAGCGACAAGACTGGGGACTCTGGTGACTGTGAGGGCTAAATAACGCGAATGCCAAAAGAATTTTTTGAGATAAATGACAGCTTTAGTACATGCTTACGCGTCTACAAAAATTACTTCGTCTTTTTCGACTCATTATGTTCATACCAAGCGCCTGCGTTTGACAATGCCATCGTCGTCATGCCCAGCCCTGCGCCCACGACTCAGTCGACGGGATATGCCCCGCGAATCCCCCACTCGATCTCCCCCCTCGTTCATCGCCATCATCTCCAGCGCCTCCTCCCTATCACAGCCTCCGATTTCGTCTCCTCGTACACCCCCCTCACACCTCCCCACCCCATCGACCCGTAACTCCGCCAAGGTTGCTCGCAATGGCTTGAGGAGCAAGCGTCGGAAGGCCTCGCATTGACTTGCACTCCCCTGCTCCATCACGTCCAGCTCCTCTGCCATCCTTCCCAGCTTGATTAGATCCTCAGCCAAGTACATGGTGATACGCCGGTGGGATCCGTGACGTGCGGCTGCTTGCAGGGCGCGGAAAGACATGCCTCGGGTGGCGAGCACCTTCTCGTCCACCTCGCTCTCCTCCGGCTCTACCACCTCCAGCAGCCGCCTTTGTTGGGGCATGGGGACCGAAGACCCCTTAAAACAGCCTCCCTCTTCCCCGAGCCTAGGGGCCTCCCTTCCCGCCCCACGGTCCTCGTCTCCCCCTTTCTGGAAGAAGGCTGCCAGACGCAGCCCGCCGTCCCCCTCTACCACTTGCAGCACCGGCGTCAGGATCGAGAAGTGCTGCACCACGTGGTCTCTGAAGGCGACTAAGGCCACCTCTGGCAGGTAGGGAGTGTTGGCCGCATCCAGGGCCCCGCAGCCCCCAAAGGAGGCCGTGGTGGCGCGAAAGCTCTCTCCAGAGATCTGGTCGTTCATTTTCATGAAGAAGGAGGAGACTTCGAAGACCCAGGCTGTGTAGACCCCGAAGCACTTGAGGAGATCCTGGAGGAAAAATCGATAGGCGGCCACTAAGCCCTTCTCCTCCAAGCGGGAGCCTCGCATGTGGCGGATGATGTCGCGACGGAGGGCCTCTGCCTGGAGGGCGAACTCGGCCCGCATGCACTCCCAGAGCAAGAGCCAGTCTCGGCGGGTCAGCTTGTTCACGCACTTCTGGAAGGAGGAGGTGATGGGGATGAGGGAGTCGTCGCGCTGGTGGATCTGCTCCCGGGTCGCGTACAGGCGGGCGCGGAGGGCCACCCGGCAGGAGTTGCTCAGCCACTCCCAGCCCCGGTGCAGGCTGTCCCAGCGCCCCGCCCAGATCCGGTCCAGTGCCCGCATCTTGTACAGCCAGTAGAAATCGCCCGTCCTCGTCTCTGCCACCTCCCAAGCGCTCTCCCTCCCCGTCCCCGCCATAAACGAGCGGGCCTGCTCGTCCACCCCGGCCTCAGGGTCGCCGCCGGCCTCCGGGACCGGGCCCACCTGCTCGCGTTCTCTCTCCCCTGACGCGGGCGCCCGAGTGAGGGTAGCAAGGGATGAAGGCAAAGCGGTGGGAGGGGAGGAAGCGGCAAGAAGAGAAATGGGTTTAAGCAGGCCGCTTTGAAAAGGGGCCAGCTCCGCTCCTTGCGCGCCGCTCTCCTCCGCCTTCTCCTCCCTTCCCGACATGCCCTCGCCTGTCTGCGATAACCGCCCCCGGCGGTGGTCTCGCCCTTGCCCACTAGCCGCTGCGGCTGCCTTGGCATTGCTGTCCCTCCAGATCTCCGCCAGCTCCTGGTAGTCCTTCACCACGCGGAAACACGAGGCTTCCTCCTCTCCCCCCCCGGTGGGTCGACCGGCCGGGGGCCCGGATGGAGGCAGGATGATCTCGCGCTCCGTGGAACAAAACTCACAGTTGAGGCCGAAGGGATCGGCTTGCCGCAGCCCGCAGGCCGAGCAGGCCCAGGTAGCCGGGGCGGCAGGG